GGAAGGAAGGAAGGAAAGAAAGAAGAGAGAGAGAAGAGAAAGAGAGAGAGAAGAGAAAGAAAGAGAGAAAGAAAAAGAAAGGAGAAAAAGAAAGAGAGAAAGGAAAAGAAAGGAAGGAAAAAGAATTTTCTTGACGAGATGTGAGGTGAAACCTGAACTTACGTGCTGGATTAGTGTCTCTACAATCTTGTACTGGTCTGGCATGTGAGTGACCATGTGGGTCATATTATCTTCAGATGTTCTCACAAGAGTTGGGCCAAACACTATTGCTAGGTTTCTCGGTTCCATCTGAAACAAAAAATAATATTGGAAAATGTCAGAATTTTTCTTAAGAACGGAGGCTTAAATTCCTATTGCATGTTTGACATCTTATTCCTGAAAGTCTCTTTCAATGAAAAAAAATTCAAAGAAGAATGGCTGACTGATGCGTGTAAAAAAAAATAATGCTTCCATAAGCTAATCTGTATATACCTTCTTCTTCCTGATTTAATGACAATGTACATTGCTTAACTGGTATTCATTTTTCCAAGAAATCTTTGCTTGAAAGCAATTGATTTGGTTCAAAACTACTAGTTATTACCAGAGCTGGATTAATTGACAAAAAAATTAAAATCAAAGGGAAAAAACTCACAAAAGAATTGGAAAACCTTCTTCCCTCAAAAATGAAAAAATGGAAACAGTGCTTGAAAAGTACATAAAATTTTCCAAATTTGCCCCTGCAGTATATTAAAAATCCCTAAGATGTAAAAATCTATTGCCTGGAAATATTCCTTTTGACCAATTTTTACTTCAACCAAAACATCCAAAGCTCTTTGCTTATCTGTGTGCTGATCTGAACACCTCAAGATTACATTCTAATATTCATTCAAATAATATCTGTATTACTTGTTTAATATATGATTACCAAAGGATTGGATTTTTGTTTTCCTTTTTTATGTCTTATAGTGTCTGGTGTAATATTTTGAGCTCAGGATTTGATTAAAGTGTTAAATAACTTTAACCAACCCTGAAAATATGTAAGGGAGCAAAACATGACCACAGAATTCTAAAGGCCACACTTAAAAAAAAAATACTATATTATTTTATGAGAGGCATGTACATGCACACAAGCACGCACACACACCTTTTGCATATGGTGCAAAGTGGAAAACCCACAATTCTCCTCCAATTCTGAAGCAGTCATTATGCATCTAATATGTTAACTCTCATAATACATGCATTACTACGCTGAGCTTACTACAGAGAAAAAGGACAGCTTGTGATTAAATTAAGTATTGTCATAGAAAGCTGACTTAGTGGAAAGAAATATGACTCTAGAGAAGGTTTACTTAAACTGGGTACAAAAGACATGTTTCTCAATTTCCCTCTAGAAGGCATATTCATCTATCTCATTGTTATACTCGTTCAGTTAGACGTGGTTCAAAAAACTGAAGTCCAGCATCTCAAAGGTCTTTTGTAAAATTTTTACTAGATTCTTGTCTCTGGTTTCATTTAAGTTTTTAGACGAATGATAGCATGAATTATTATTTACATATAGTAATATTTATCATGCGGGTATACAGTTTTAGTTGGCTCCTGTATAAAACTAGTAACATAATTTATAGTTTATTTATTCAGTAATTACTTAAAACAAATTCTGTATTTTTTGAAAGACATTCCACAAAGTGTAGTCAAATAAGTCTGGGGAATGAAATGCCTTATCCTGTATTCAAGACTAAATTTTGGTGTGTCTGATGAATGTAATGTGGTGGTGTCAAAACAAACCAAAAAAAGGTCTTATCTGCTTAAAATAAGAAAATGTTATTTTTCATTCACTGCACACCATTTGGTACATTTTGACTGTTGCATTGTGCAAATGTTGCATACTCAAAATATTGATATAGAGTTGAAAAATAAAAGAAGTCAAATTTCTGGCTTTTTCGTTTTTCTTGCTGGATACATATAAAAGGAAATGTCTTTTAAAAATGGTGACAATTGATGTTTTGGGATCTTTTGCTTTTAAGGGTTGATCTTTAGAGGAACTAATCAGCCAATATAATGTATTTTAGAGCATTTCTTGAATTATAACCCTATTTTTAACTACTTGGCATGAAACAAAGCATATCTTTTCAAATAAAGTCACTGAAAGTATATCTCTTCTATATGCACTTTACTTACCTTATTTTTTTCTGAATTTTCTGCTACTGTCTTCAGATGAGCCGAAAGGAACTTAAGCGTTTCATAATGATGTTCGGGCAAATCATGAATCTGAAACATATTATTTTCATGACGGGTTTAGATGCTGAATTTTAGGTGTACCTCCAAAAATATAAAATAATACCTACTAGTCTTTTTAATGTTTTCAGACGATCTAGAGGATCTTCTTTACGATTGGCTTCAATGAAGTCGGCATATTTATCTGACAACGACAATCAGTACAATAAAACAAATTTATCTTAAATTGCTTAGTTGAGTTGTAATCTAGTTTTAAGATTCGATTTCAAACCACAATAAAAAAAATGTAGGTAAGACCCCAAATGATCTTTGAAATTTAAGTCTCTACAATTGCTATAGTTTTTAATGATCCTCCAAGCCTAATACTCAAATAAAATTCCCTAAAATGTGAATTCTCTGAGGGTACCATTCCTATGTTTATACTTGGTTCATTTTTCTCCCCCCGCCCCTAACATCTAATACAGTGTCTTATATAAGTCAAGTATTTGGCTTGACTGAAAAATGGTTTTCTACTCATTGTACTTACTGTATTAGGTCTGAAGACCTTTGACTGAGAACGACAATATATTTTTAATCTGACTGCAAACATGGATGTACTGGATAATATATATTTTACTGAGCCTAAACACTTTTTTATAAACTCTATTTTTCATTAATATTTATCAGGAAGGAAAAAAATCCAAATGACAAAAAATAGCACACAATTATACCTTATATATTACTAAGAATTAAACAAAATCTGTTGCCTTTGACAAAAAAAATTTTCTCCTGCTTCAATTTCATATTCTATGTTTTCCAGCAATGCAATTTTAAACTGTTCCACTTGGTACCTTTCCTGGGAGTTAACTCACCATTTGTGAAGAGAGGTTCAGGGAGTTTTCTGAAGAAGGATTTTAGTAAACTGCTTATCACATTCAAATCTCGCCATTTCTAGGTGTGCAAAATAGAAATACGATAGTTTTGTAATCACTACCACCAAAGGAAAAAACAGATCAGTTATCCAAACGGAAATAAACAACTTACATCATCTTGTATATCAATATCAGCCATTCCCTTATTGAGTTCTTCCTGCATACTTGAGATGGCCGCATTATTTCCAGGAACTCTATAAATACCTGTATATTCAAGACCTCTTTCTTCAACTAATTTGCAACATATGTCAACTATTAATGGAATATACTGCAAAACAAGAAATAAACATTTTATTTAATACAGCACCGATGTTTATATTTAGTGAGCAGATGCATACCATAGCTAAAAGGTCCTTTTCATACAAAAGGCAATATGTAAAATTGCTGTTATTTGATATAGAGAAAATAAAGACAGCAGACACTGCAGAACTGGGAACCGATAAAACCAGCAAGAAGTATCCGAGGCAGTGGGAAGAGAACAAATAGGTGGAGACAGAAAGAGAAAGGACCACAGGAAGTTAACAGTCTAAGGAGGAAACAAGAGCAAGTAAGGACAGTGCGGGGACAGTTCAGTCGAATAAAGGACATAAAGTCAAAAAAAGAAGAGAGTAACATCAATCAAATCATGATGTGAATCCTAACGTGGGTGTTTTAAACACACACACACACGCGTGCGTGTGCACATTCACACTTATTATTCTTTCTTAATCAGGTCCTCGTTCTCATGCTCCTTTTAAGATGCTAAAAGCAAAAACACACATGATTTGAAAATAAATTCTTACTGACCATTTCAGATATACTCCTAAAGGCTGAATAATTATTCTATTTCAGAGTCAACATATTAGTAAAAGCATCATATAGATAAAATTACTCTACACACCCTCACAGATCAGAAATGCTTAGGGAAACTAAAATCAGCTGTGATGAGGAAAATGTTCAGTAAACTGACAGACACTCTATGTGAACGGCTGTATAAGCGAGTGCTCTTAGGCCTACGACCGAATTAACGACTCCAGTAATCCAGCCGGCTGGTGTCTCCTACCCGATTGGTATGAGCTGGTGGGCAATCATCCAGTCTGACCCCGAACGTTCCTGTGGCAGCAGGTTTTTTCTCAAATGGCTTTCTCATAATACTTGGAATACCTTTCCTCCATGTGCCTTTGTCTTTTGGGGGACTGGTGTCATCTTTTGATTAAATGACATAAGAAAGAAAATGGAAACAAGAGTTTAAATCACGACTTTAAAAATCCTTTATCAATATTTATATGAATCCTGTACTATAAATAATTTATCCTATATTTATCAAAAATATTGTATCACCTTCTCTTTCTAACGTAGCACTCCTTTTAACCTTCCATATAATTTAGAGGGTATCGATTATGCTTCTTCACCCTTTCACAACCTGTCCCATGATTTTCTTGACTATGGTCAAGAAAATAGAATCAATGTGACAACTTCCTAGCGAGATTTTTGCAACAAAATTTATCTCAAAATGACAGTGCCCAGATCCTCTGCATTAATCAGATCTGTGGCATCTTTAGTGTGGATGTATGTGTTGTACTTTCCTTCACTTTGTCTTTATTACAAGAACTGGCACCTCAGACCCCACCTTATAGGAAAGGCCCCACTGGCCCAGGCCAGGCTCACGGTGGTCTTCGAGCTAGCTCACGCTGGGCTAAGGTGAGCAAAAATGGTACAGAAAAATATCTTTAAAAATCCCAATTTCAAATCATTTTATCGGTTAAATTTGTCTGAGAACAGCAACATCGGTACCTTTACTGAGAAGTCTCCTTTCTGAGTCTTCCTTCGGAGAGTGGGGACTTTGTGTCTTTGGCTCTGACTTAGTGCCAAGCAAAGTCTGCCGGATGCTGAGACTCTGGCGAGGCGTTTTTGGCAACTGTTCAGCTTTGCTGCTGAAAAGAAATGAACATTTCTTAACAATGACGTATTTTACAGCCCAATTAACTTAAAGGCATGGTGGGATTCTCACCTCATCAGACTGTTATATTCTTTTATCCTTCGACTAATTAGATCCCTGTTAGTAACTCCAGTGTCCTAAAGAATAAATAGAAGGTAAAATTAGAAAGTTAATGCTAAACAAAAATAGAAATCCCTACTTGTTTTGAGGCTCTCTATTGTCCTACTTTGCTTATCCAATACAGACACTATATACTTTACTATCAGTAGAATTGTTTTAAAACTTCTGTTGAAGATCACCACCCATCATCACTGTGACAAATGTTCCAAGTGCCTCATTCATTGCTGAGTTTTCTGTTTATTTTCTGTACCCCTACAACAAGTGTTCAAACTTATTGATCTGTCATTTTAAATTAATAAATGGGAAACAGAGAGCCAGTTTTTTCTATTAATAATTCCAGAAAGAAAGATCAGCATTTCAAAATAATACAGTTGGATAAAAGATGGAAAAAATACTGCCAATAATCGTTAGTAATTATATTATAGGAGAAGTGAGATTAACAGTCAGTGTCAGAAGTGACAGATAATCAGAAGAGAAAAGCTCGAAACTGTGTTTTGTTTTGTTTTTAAAAACCTCAAAAGGTTAACTTTTATAATATGTTATATGTATGGTAAACTCAGAGTTACCATAAAGTGATGTTTTTCTATAATCAGTATATATTTCTACAATCAATTATACATTGACATGCGTCTTCAAAAAATTTTTCGACTCGTCTCATTTTGATTGTAATGAACAACACGATTTACAAAAAGCACAAGCTTTAAAGTCACAATCTTGAATTCAAATCTACTCTTTCTATTTACCAGTAGAGAGATCATGTTGTTCAGATCTAGAATAAGATTGTCTTGTTTAAATCCTAGCCCTGACACTTATCAGCTATGTGACCTTGGGGAATTACTTAACCTCTCTTTACAACACAGTTTCCTTGTTTGTAAAATGGTGATGAATAATTATAGGACACGTTGATATGGTTGCTGAGATTAATTCACTGTAAAATGCTTAAAGCAGTCTCTGCCATATGGTATAGGCTCAATGAATGATTATTTTCTTATCTATAAAACGGGGGAAAAATACCTGTGTCTTTACATTAAATGATAATGATGATGATAATGGCTGACATTAAGTAAATGTTTATTATCTAACAGACAGCTGCATTCTTAAGCACTATCCCATTCAATCCTTAAAACAGTCCTGTGTTTCACCAGTGAAGTCATCTAAAGGAATTTTAACAAGGACACCCTACCCTACCACTTAATAAAATGCCTAGAACACAGTGCTTCTAAACAGGAACTCCCCAGAAGTGATATTTAAAGCTGAAATCTACATCTAAACTCTTACTCTGTTTCTTTGCAAAAATTCAGGTTCGATGCTCTCTTTATAATGGTGGTTATAGAACTGAGGTGGTACTGATATGATCTGGTGTTAATCTTTTCTTTTCTTCTCTCTTTTTTTTTTTTAGGTGAGGCAACCCTTGGTTGACCTCACAGATTGCAAGGACCTTGTCAGCTTACAATCCTTTATTTTTTTATTTTTTACGCTTACAGCACCTGGTCTTCCTAGGTAGTCTCCCATCCAAGTACTAACCAGGCCCGACCCTGCTTAGCTTTCAATATCAGATGGGATCGGGCTTGTTCAAGGTGACATGGTTGTAGACTGGTGTTAATTTTTAACCACAACCAAGGTAGGATATAAACTATCAGAGAAAAAAGCACAGGCATTTTTCCTATGACATAAATTGTCATCATTTGAATTGAACATAATGGAAATGACTAAATTAGAGAAGATAATTTACGTAATCTTATAGTTAGTGTAGGTGTTTTTGCAGGAAAAGTAAGGAAAAAGAAAGTTGTGCGGTTTTTTTGGTCATAACGATGGGAACAAGAAACGAGAACAATGTGTAAGAAAAACTGTGTAAGAAAAAAGGTACTCGAATAGAAGCTAGAGTTAATCATTGCTAAATTTGCACTTTAAAATTATAGTTACCTATACTTACAAACTACCTTTACTGAAATTCTTGCTGTAATATCTTGCTGGTTGTGAGCGAGAAACTAAGTCCCTAAACATTATTCCTCATTAAAAAGAAAATCTGGCTTATAACATGATTTCTAATAATGTAAGTTTCTTAGAAACCACTTATTATATTACAGGGGTTATATTATATTTTTGCTTGCATAATTCCATTAACAAAAAATCATATCAGTATCTCTTTGCATTTACATAGTAATTTATTTTGGTAAGCATCTTCACTACAACCTAAGCCACACAACAATCCTGTTTTGGAGATAAGGAGACAGATCTAGACTTATTTAGTCATAAGGTAAGGACCAGGACTAGCAACCCAGGTCTCCTGATCTGTGGTTCACTGCTTCCGAGAAGCTATGCAGAGTGCATGATAATCATTTTTTCTAGTTCAGTAAAAGTGGTTTTCCAATAAGCAAAAAATAATATAAAATAGGTACAGCTGAGCTTTCCTTGTGACCAAGTATTTTGAAGTGAAAATAGCATATTATAATTTTTTAAAATAATATATCAAAATCTTTCAGTCTTCTGAAAGTAAAGAAGAACAAGAAAACTGTTGTGAACATGTCCTGATTTCATCAACATCATTCCGAGCACACACCTCCTCATTCAGGTTGCTACTCTCCTGGATGGCCTTGATCCATGCTAACATATCGTCTCTGTCTTCAGCCTGAAAGAGGCACTCACAGTCTGACGTGGTAAGTCGGAACACATTTTTCCTCTTGGTCTCACTGTACGAGATGTCTATTAAGCAAGCATTAACACTGATGGGTTGTTCTTCTTCAGACGGAGTCATCTGTTCTCTTTTATCTTTGTACAAGTAAAGTGAATGGCCCCGAAGTACAACATACATCTGCTTCCACGGCCGAATGCTTCCACCAACTCTCTGGAAAACATGAGACGGTTCAGGAATGTTTCACACCTGGCTAAATCTCAGTGCCAGGGTAAACACACAGAGCAGCGCTGTTAACATGCATAAACGTACACCCGATGCAGCAAGTGTCTGATTTACATCAATATAAACTTGTCAGGAGAAGAAGCACGAAAAACGTGGAGTGTAAACCAGGTTAGGCAATATATTCATACCAAAATCTAGGATGGTGCAATCTAAACTTTAATTTGGCTGGGAAAATAAAATCATCAAAGTAATTAAGATAAAACAAATATAGCTAAATATATATTTAAAAAAATGGTAAAGGAATAGAAAAAAAGAAAAAAAATCAGCCAGAAAAATCTTTTGAGTTAAAGTCATAAATCATGCAAATGACAAACACTGCATCAGAAGATCCCAAAGCAATTTGTACAAATGATGAATTAAGTTAATAAAACTGACCAACTGTACACAGTCAAGCAACAATAGCTATAGCCAAGGGCTGTGGCTACTGGTTTGTGAGTTTTCTTAAAAATTTAAAACTCTCTGATGATATTAAAATTTTCTTATAAGTAAGCAGCTAAAATATTGTAGGAAATTTTATGGCGAAGTTTTCATTATACTGGAATCTTAATGAAGCACATATTGACATTGTGATATTCATTTATATAACTCAATATTTATAAAATAAAGTGAAACTATTGTATTATAATGGCAATTTAAAAGAATAAACTGGGAAAATTTAAATAAAATTTTTTAAATTATTAAAATGGAGAAGTGTCACTCCCTAAAAAACTACTCTATGACAATCTATAGCTAATAAACTATTTAATAATAAAAGCGGAGTTTCTTCTAGAAATTCTTCGATTTCTCTTTCATTTTACCAAAATATAAGACAATATGTTCCATAGGTACTGGATAAAAAGAATGAAAAAAGTATAAAATTAAATCAATGATTAGAAAATCTTTTTAAAATAATGATGTCTTTATTCTAGATAGTTGGCCATTTTATGTATATAGACTTCTGCTTTATTTTTAGGGCCTGCATTTCATTCACTCACAGCAGCTCAGAAAACGCACTACCTTGCCCTTATCGGTGACAAGCGGTCGGAAGTGCAGCCACCCCTCCTTGGCAGCATCGCTGAAAACCTCTGACGAAGAGTCTTTTCTGGACCCAGAGTCTTCTGATGACTTTTGGCTGTCTGTGCTCTACAGAAAAGGCCAAGAAAACATAGTAAAATGTCAGCTTTTTCCTTCATAAACATCTGTGTGTTGAAACTGCACTGCTGAGAACAGTCTTTTATTTAATGTTCCAAATGAAGGGCTATTTTTGAAAAATCCTAACTTTACCAATTACATTAGAAAAGTTTCTGGTTTTGTTAAAAAAATATGTGAATTGACTAACGTCATTTTTTAAAAAGTCTTCTGAAGGAATTTTTAATCATTAAAAAACAATAGAAATAGTGTAATTTTCTTGCTCAAGAGGTCGCATTTTAGTGTGAAAAAAATAAAAAATAAAAGCCAGAGAAATGATAAGACTGTGATTGGTGCCATCTGAAGAATGAACAGTGAGATGTAATAACGAATGACTGAGCAGCGGCTGTAAATTGGTGGTGCTGAGGCAAAGCCTCTCTGAAGAAGGAACATTTAAGTTTAAATCTAGAAGAAAAATTTTAAAAAAGAGACAAGCAGGAAAGGCCAAGAAAAGAAAAGTTCAGGAAGAATGTATAGCTAATGAATATATATACTCAACATTTGCATTTTAAATGTTAACTATTCAAGGTAAGAGAAAGAGCTAATTATGGATTGTTTAGGCCCTGGTAGGAAGTATGAAGAAAGCCATTAAATGGTGAATCAGATTAGACATTATCTAATCACACAGTTCAAAGGTCACTCTGCTTGCTACAGGGAAGTTGGATTCTAAAGGGACAACCATGAAAAGTGTAACTGGAGGAATCCAGGTGAGTGACAATGACAGCTCGGACTAAAGTAGTGTAAGTGAATACAGGGAAGAATGTCTTAAAGATTCAGGAGGTAGAGATGACAGGACTTGATGGGGGAAGGGGCGAGGAGGGGTGGTGGGGGCGGTGATAAAGGAGAAAGAAGGCTAATTCCTAGATTTATGGCTTGAACAACTGAGTAAATGGAAGTGGACTTAGTGAGATGGGGAAAACTGAAGGACAAACGGGTCTGATCAGGTCTTCTGGGCATGTAAACCTCATATTGCTTATTAAACGTCCAAATGAGATGTCATACAGGCAGCAGTCCACTGAGCTGCAGTATAGGGAAGAGGTCAAGGTCAGCAATGTAAACTTAGGGAGACTTCTGTGCAAGATCATCAAGAAAATCAGGCTAGATAGAGAGGGGAGAGAGGCCAGAACCAGCTCTAGACATTCCGATGTTTTCAATATTAGGCAGAGAAACCAGCAGAAGAAAGTGTTTCAGGATGGGAGTGGGAAATCGTGTTGGATGCTGCTGGGAGGTCAAATAAGTTAAAAACTTAAGCAACCATTAGCTTTGGAACCTGAATATCACTGGTAGCCCTGGCAATGAGCAGGGTCATGCTGATATGTGTGGGTTGAGAAAGAGGTGACGTGAGCAAGTAGAAACTATGGACCTTCTCCCACCCCCAAGTTGTGCTGTGAAAAGTGGAAATCAAGAGTAGTAAAAATAGAGGAAGTGTGGATTCAAGGTAAGTTTTCAGAATGTGCTTATACAACAGAATGCTGGCGAATGAGCCACTGGAAAGAGAGTGATCATGCAGAAGAGAGAGGGGTCTTGAGAAAGTGAGAAATAATGAAATTCAAAGAAGAAATGTGGGTGTTGGTTTTTAATAGGAAAATGTTCCAAGTAAAAAGATATCTAAGGTAAGAGTAAAGAAGGCAGAAACTGTGGGTATAAGTGAAGGGATCTAATATTTTGGAGAAAGTAAAGTAAGGCAATTCCTGTCTAACAGCTTTTTACTTTTCCAATCAAGTATGAGGGAAGGGTAGATAAGAGAGGACAGGGGTAGATTTTAGGTGGGAGGGGAGTGGGAAGCCATAAAATAATAATTTTGAGGATAGAAAAACACACATACAACAGAATACAGAAGGAGTGCTGGGCAGTTCGATTTTTGGCAATAAACTTATAAAATGAGAAATCCCAGCAAAATGTATGTACAGTATTATACACTTGATGAATGTGTGTAGAAATTAGAAAAGAACACTTTATATATAATATTTTCCAAATGCACTTGAAACTTACAGAATAAAAGGTTATAACATTTATGAAACGTCTCTAATGGATAAGAGATAATTCTCTATGAAGAGCTAAAGTAAATTAAGGTAAATAAAAATATTTTCATTTGCTGATATTTTAAAAATATTGAATACCAACCTTGATGCCCTTCAGGCTAGATATGTGCTTAAAGGACCTGTTGGAAAGAAGTACATAAATATTTTCAATGGTGCATAAAATACCTCAGAGATGTAAGAATAATCTGAATATTACAACTGACCTTTCATTAAGAGTTGACATTTCATCATTACATGTTAATTGTTCACTGCTCAGTAAAAGTGAGAAAATCAACTAATTTTATAAGTACTTTAACTTTTGATTCAATGATAGCTTTCTTAGTTAATCGGATACATCAAAAACAGTTTTTACATAAAGTATGATATTTTCTTATTCTTTTTTTAGATCAACGAAAACGAAAAGCTACTCAGGCTAAACATTGGGCTTTCCATTACCAGTTAACCAGTTGCAACGATCTGTGGAGGATTCCCACAGAGTCAATGACGGATAAGTAGTTGCCATCAACAATCAGACACAGAGAGAAGAGCACGTCTATATTCATTCTGCTTGTAGACACTCTGACCTGTCAACATGGCAGAAAGAATACTGCCAGCGCTAGTCATGGCCGACCACTCTGCCCCTCCAACCACATTCTGGATGGTTTCAATAAGTACAACTGAAAAAGCTTAGGGCTTCAAAAGACAGGTTCACATTAGTTATTAAAATTATTTAACTTTAGGGAACCAAGTTGCTTTTTGTTGTTGTTTTTTAATACCAAATTCATTGAAGGAACTTGGGATTTTAAGATGTGACTGAAGATGACACTGTCCTCTCCTCTCAGAAATGACCCCAAACAACAAGGTAACTAGAAACAAATATACAAACTCAACCTCCAACTCTGAACTACAATATATGAAGAAAGGTGGTTAAATGGTGGGAATTAAAAATGCGTACAGAAAGGGAGGACACCACTGATTGCGTATCTCCAACAAAACTGCAGTGCACTGTTCTCTGAGAGATCAAACCAACCTTTTGGAACAATGAGAAATAAGGTACTTTTGCTGGTGACAGGAGACTCGTTCATTACCATGGATATCAGGGGAGGGAGGTGAGAACGAAGGAGGAAACGTACAGTCTTGCCATCTTTCTTAGAAGCAGTGCATAAAGTGAAGTAGACTCTGAAATATGGCAATTACTGATATCATTCAGTGAGGGAGAAGTAAATGTGAAAAGAGCTCACAAGTCCTATCCAGCATTGTTAGAAAAATTCCTGTTAGCCTAGACCTCTGCCCTGGCCACACCTCACGCAAACTTCTCTCAAATAGGTGATCTAGAAAGAACTAGTTTTATTGGAATATAAATAATCACCACATGGAAGCTGCAGAGAATCTATACAAAAATAACATAATAAAAAACAACAAATTGTTTTTTGACAAAAGGTTTAACATCATAAAGATGTCAGTATTTCCTAAATTAATCTATAAATTAAACATTGTATCAATGAAAATATCCATGAAAACTTAAAAACTAGAAGGTTGATTTTAAAGTTCAAATAGTAAAATAAACAGAAATAGCTTGAATTTGAGAAAGACAAACTAATGAAGGAGTTTTTATTATAGGCCTACCATATAATAAAAACATTATAAAACCACTATAATTAACAGAATCTGGTGTAAACAGACAAACTGAACAGAATACAGTCTAAAAATAAAACTAAATACATATAACAATTTAGTAATATAATAAACATAAAATATCAGCTGGAAAGTATAATATTCAATAGATACTTTGGGGACAACTGAGAGACACTATAAAATATAAAGTTGGCTCTTTACCTCACTAGTTAGAATAAAATTAATCCCAGGTGAATCAAAGTTGTAAATATACAAAAAAAGAATAGGAAAAACATACAAATTGGAAAAGTAAACATGAAAGAATTTTGTTATAATTCTGGAGAGAAAGGCTTTTTCAGTATGACTCAAAATCCAAAGGCCATAAAAAAATTCCTAAATTTGACCGCAAAAAGAAAAATGTTTAATATTTTTGCATGGTTAAAAAAAATTAGGAAAACCAAATGATAAATATTGACTTGGGGAAAGACTTGCAATACTGATCTCAGAAAAGAGTGGGTTTCCTTTATAAAAAGAACCCCCAGACGCCAAGAAGAAAAACTAGTAGGAAAATGGGCAAGAAATGAAAAAGTACTTCACAGAAAAATATAAATATCTCTTAAATACATATGAAATGATGTTCAATTAATAATAAGAAAATTTCAAATTAAAACTACAATAAGATACCATTAGATTTACAAAGTAATCAAAAATTGAGTAACATGCTGTGCTGGTGAGAAGAGCAGCAGACTTTTGTACACTGTTGGTGGGATGTGATTTGGGATAATCTTTATGAAGAGCAACTGACGATGGATATTAAAATACACACATACCCTTTGATGTAACAATCCTTTATCCAAACATACTCACTCACTCGCTAAATGAACTATATAGAAATATAATCAATGAAGTACTGTTTGTGGTAGCGTAAGATTCGATCAATCTCAATGTCTATTAATAGAATATAGAACACTGGTTAAACCTAACATGGTACAACTATTCAATGGAAAATTAAATGATCATGAAAAAGTATGAGTCAAGAATATATGCACTGAATGATCTCCAAGATCAGTGTGTACAGTATCTATCATTTGTTTATAAAAGTAATCAGAATATACATAAGCGTATGTAAATTCCGTATGTGGTTTTATGCTTAGAATAACTCTGAAAATATACAAAAGAAAACAGTAACATAGTTATCTCTAAAAGTAGGACTGGGTGGCTAGAGGCCTAGAGTAGGAGTGATTACTTAATATATATTTTTGTATTATGTTTGTATATTACTGATTTTTAGGTATTAATTTAAAAATTAAATTAATATTTACCAAGTAATAACTTTGATTTTACTTGCATTTCTAATGTTACGAAGTTAGAAAATATAAAAGATGTCATTAAATTCAATATTCATATGTGAAAGTCATACTAAACTCCTATAAATAAATACTTAAAATACCCTGAGACTTACAATTTTGCATCTTCTCTGTAATCATCCAGGCCCTCATCATACGATTTTGATCTTTCTGTCTTTGCGTTGGGCTGGGCATCCAGGCTGGGAGGTCCAACTGATTCTGGAATTAAAATCCAACAGTGAGACATCTGCAAGTAGTTTCCAGATTCTTTTAGTGGTGAAAAGATCACAGTTTGTCAGTGTTCTAAACAGAAATCGAAGAACAAGAGATGATTCACACATTCACTCCCTGAAACCAACGTACCCTGGTCGTGAGAGAGCTGACGTCGAATTATAGGAGCAGAAGTTGTGAGGCTGGGAGGGACTGTTGCTATAGAGGCTGCTTGAGAGGTAGAGGCTGAGATGACAGCAGAAGCGGGGATGTGCGAAATGTCGTGATCGATGCTTGGGCTAGTGGGTTCATCTATTAGATAAAATAAAGATAAAGATTGAAATGGTGAAGGACCTAATTGCTATTAATAATAACGATAATAGAACAAATGATCACTAATCATTAAAACAACCAGATAAAAATTTTAACACTTAACCACTAAAATACCAATAGAAAACGTATTTGGCCTGTTAAAAATCTACTTACACCGTTATCACTCTACTAATTCCATATAATTCTGAGACTATGGCATGAGAAATAAATGAGTTGCTTCTTTTCCTTCTACCAACCAATACCTTCACTAACTGATAATCAAGATAACAAAGTTAATAAGTATTCAGAACTGAAATCTACAAAAGTGGAAAAATCATACATCACCCTAAAATAATTATTTTCCATATGTTAAATGTATTGCACATTATCATTTCAGGCAGCTTAGCAAGGTGACTGGCTGAGGTTTAACTTTCGAAGTAGCAATTCCTAAAACCTTACCTTCCCTCCACACTCATACTCAAGTTACGTCTTCAATTTTTGTAGAAAAATAAGAAAGTATAGTCTATAGCTGCCTGAAGTTACACATTATCAAGGCCACTGCTATGGATGGGACGCTTGTGCCCCGCCCATTTCATATGTTGAAACCAAATCCCTAATGTGTTGGTGTCTGTGATGAGAGAGAGAGGTGATTAGGTGATCTGGCTCCAACCTCATGAATGGGATTAGTGCCCCTAAAAAGGAGACCCCAGAAAGCTCCCTCGCTCCTTCCACCATGTGAAGACACAATGTCTATGAACCAAGAAGCGGGTCCTTCCTTACCAGACACTGAACCCGCTGGGGCCGTGATCTTGGGTTTCCCAACCCCTAGAACTGTGAGAAATAGGTTCTGATGTTTAAGCCACCCAATCTACTTTTGTTATAGTGGCCCAAACAGACTGAGACAGTTGCTGGTTTATTTGGTACTTTAACGCTAACCAGAAAAACGAGTCTCTTCCCCAGGTAGATGTAGACCGTCAGAGGAAAAAATCTCCATTTGCCCCTTCTACCCTTATGAAAATATAAATATTTTAGGTGTTATAAATTTTAAGCTTCTCAAAAGCCTGCCTGTTCACTAGCTGTCATGGGCAGAAATGTGTATGTGAACGCGTATGCATGCATAATAACAATAACATTAACAGTGCTTACTAGGCACTAGTGCCATCCTAAATACATATATTACTTCATTTATTTCTTATGAAATTCTATGAAGTAAATACTACTTTAGAGATTTTTCTCTAGAAATACATACTATTTTTAAAAAACAAGAAGGCAACTTGCGTACAGCTACCAAGCCATAGAGATGGAATTAGAACCCACAGTCTGATATCAGAGTTCCCACTCTATAATTATAAATTGTATTTGTTATCCAAATTGGTGAATAGCTCTGTTCAAAATTATTACCCTTGTAAAAATATCAGTGGTTTAAATTCTAATATGTGAGGTTAAGAAAATATAAGTTAATAGGATGTCAGAATTATAATCCTTAAATTTAAATGCCCCAAGCCTTAAAAAATCATAATGAAACTCTTTAAAGAAAACAACATAATGATGAGACCGGATTTTGATTCCTTGATTTAAAAGGTCAAATATTTTAATTTCAACCAAATTCTAAGATGGGCTTCATCAGCATTTTAATCAAGACAACTAATAATATTACAAAACTGTAACAATCCATTTTATGGCTAAAATCAGTAAATCCTGACTATTTTAAGCTTATTTTCTCTTTTTACAATTTTTTTTAGAAGTAGTTCTTTACAATTTAGCAATAGAAAACATTTTGAAAATTTCTGTATAAGTCAATTTCATTAAATCCATGACATCTTAATATCACGCAGGTAAAAATGCAATCATTCTTTTCCCAAAAGCAAGGCGATAACTGATGTTTTTAAAAAATAATTAAAGATAAAATTTAATTTTACTAAAGGTTGTAGTATTCTTTAAAACTGCCATTACTATTTAAATTACCACAGTTAACAAAGTTGACACATATGTACAAAGTAAGTTGTTCTATAGAACCTGCTGGTCCACAATTCTGATTTGGACTAGTGAGTACTGATATGAACGGGAAAATACCATATTCTTTAGGAATTATCTGGCGTACATAGTATTAATTGTTTAGAGATTTCTGTAGTGAAAAAATTCACTGGAGTGGTTCAGATGAGATCTACTGCATAAATCTGCATAGATAAAAAATTTAGAAAGGCATTTCAAAAAAATTAGATGATGCTTCTATAAAACAATGTTTCTCAAAGCAACATGCCAAAGAATGTCTACAAGATGTTGTGAAAAAACATTTAAGAGAATCAATTCTATGTTTTATGAAGTAATTTAAAACTTTCTTATATTTATTTATGTAAAATCAACATCATGGAATGAAATTCAAATGTTGCATGGGTTAAGCATTAAAGAAAATTTCAAAAGCAATTATTTTTATGACTGGACTTTCTGGAGGTATGCATTCAGTCTCTTTTCACTTACTTCATTTTGGAGGAAATTTCAAAACACACTGGATATGAAATAATCTCTGCTTCAGGTATATGTGCACAAAAATTTGGGCTGGAAGGCTACACATCCACCTGTTCTAGAGAGTGAAGGTGAATGGAGCCTAGGAGGTGGGAGATTAGACTGCCTTATACACGTCAGCGCTGTTCGTATTTAGAACATATTTACTACTACGTTACAGAGAGAAAAGGAAATGCTGAATACTTTTACTTTTTTATTTTTATTTACTTATTTTCTTTTACGCCTACAGCACCTGGTCTTCCTAGGTGGTCTCCCGTCCAAGTACTAACCAGGCCTGATCCTGCTTAACTTCTGAAATCAGACAGGATCAGGCTTGTTCAGGGTAGCATGGCCGTAGACCGAATATACTTTTAAAATACACAAAATTACATTGCCTCATTCTTATAGATTATACTAATAAATCCAATTCTTTATTCTCTGTGAACATTTGAAAAATTTTCTATTGTTTTAATTATTACCAAAGTGTGAATAATGTAAAAACAAGACTAATTCAAGCTTACCTCATTTTCCAACGTAAGAAAATAAACAATAGTTGTCCAAAGAGAAAACAAAAAAAATTTCCATTTTCATGTATAAGTATATTCAAAAATCAATGTGCTGTCAGATTTTCAACAAATTTTTAAATTTTTAATAATCTAACTTAAATCTTCTGACAGGGAAAATATCTGATCATCTTTGTCCCAGGCATGTCACATACTAAATTAAGGTATCAATTAATGCATGCAAAACACATATTATGAACTATTAGGTTTGTTATTATCAAGTGCATAATCATTCATGGTAAAATGAATTACATAAACGAAGAATTAACTTAAGAAATATGAGGCCTTAATTTACTTGGTTCACTAAAAGCCCCAAAGCTCTCCGCAATAAAGAAAAGGTGAAGGAGGACATAAAGTTGTTATATATTAAAATTCAGGTGAGCACTACCTCTAACCTTGTAAAAATGCATATATATATACCTAAGCAGTAACAAATTTGTTTTATTTTTGGAAAATAGTGTTTTCCAAAGGTAGAAAAATAAGAGTTCTCACGGATAATATATATGCCATCATTCACTTTGAATTTTTCCAAATGGAGAATACTACAAGGTATTATATTTAAATTGATTATTCATATCTGAATAAGAAACTTTTACTACTATTATTTCTTATCAATTAATATTCTACAAGAACATCTAAAAGATTTCACAAATCAAGAAAAATGTAGACATGTACAAAATCAAGGAAGTATATTGTGAAATTTTATGTGTAACTGTTAAGAGTTATTTTTCAAGCAACAAGCATGAAACAAGAATGAAAGCCCTAAATATACACTTATTTATAAGACTTCTTATAAATAAGAACTACTAAGATCACAACAGAAAAAGAGAAAAGCACATGTAAAGACAATTCATAGAATACAAAAGCCTACTAAAAATGTGGAAAAAGCCTTGTGAAAACCTGACTACATTAAGGAAACAACCAAATAAAAGCAAGTCAAATAGTGATAACATAGCTATTTTTCATCTAATAAACTGGCAAATATTTTCACCTCATGAAGTTCTTATTCTATTTGTTCCTCTTCATATTATGCAAGGTGACCACAGAGAATATATGTTGTTTAGCTGCCCACCCATCTCTGCCTCTGAGGTTCAGTAGAATTCACTGGAGTGGCTCAGCTTCCTGTGGAGGAGCGTAAGCTCTCGCCTGCCCCAGCACAGGAGCATAAGCTCTCGCCTGCCCCTATTCCTGTGGTCCACAGTGACTGTCCAAGGGACACAGTCCAGTCAGGACCAATTATAGTACCTTCATCAGATTTGATATATGGACACTGAGAAAATAATGGTCTTTCTTTTCCCTTCCTTGAGAAACAAAAACTATAAAAATCAATAAACTGCGAGTTGCCGGTGGCCATCTTTTCCACCATGTGGAGAAAAAGTATCTGAGAATAAAGAAAGCGAAACAGAGGAGACACAGTCCTGATGCCCAGGTCTACCCTGGAACTTCTTCATGGTGATCGGACATCCTTTTTCAGCATGAGCTTATCTGAAGGGAGTTTCTATCAGCTGGAAACAAGAGGATTCTGCCTGATAGGAAAGCGGGGTACAGTGTGTTTCCCTTTCACAAACAAGCATCAGTCTTCACAAGGCCCAAAGTCTAATGCGGCAGGTTAGAGCAGAGAGCAAAGAAGGAAGGCCTTCTAAAATGAGCTGGGTTATGAGGAATTTTTCTCACAGTTCACATAATTACTCAAAAAGAATACGCCATCGATGTGGTTTATAATTAGAGCTGAAAATAATTTTATAGAACTCAGAGAAATTATCAGAACTTTGATGTAGACTGTGGCAGAATAATCAGCTCCTTGACATAATTTTGCTTTTTATTTCACCTCTGCTAGGAAGAGGTAACCCCTACCCCCTCTCCAAAATTACAGCATAATAATTTAAGGACTGTCCACATTCTGATAGTCAATGATGGACTAAACTACACATCGCA